AGTTTGCTTGGGCTGCCATAGCAAAGTACTATAGGCTGGAAGTCTGAGTACACCGCACAAGCCAGTATGCTAAGTTTCTGGTGGAGTTCTCTTCCTGACTTGTAAACATCTGCCCTCTCTCTGTACATTTCAGATGGCGGAGTGAGCAAGCAGAGCAAACTCTGGTATCTCTTCTTATAAGGGCATTATTATCATCATAAAGGCCGTGCTCATGGGACCTCGTCTAAACCTAATTACCTCCCAAAGGCCCAGTCTCCAAATACTATCACTTTGAGGGGAAGGGTTTCTACATAATTTAGAATTTTGGGAAGGGACACAATTCTGTTCATAGCAAATGCTATGGCTTTCAAGGCCTTTCACAATTAGCTCAAATATGCCTATTTCATCTTTTATTGCTACATACCAGTGCATTGTGGAGCTCCAAGAATACCACCATTGGTTCTGAAAACACATATTATACATTCATACCACTATGCTTTCACTACTGCTGTTTACTCTGCTTAAACAGCTTTACCACCCCTGGCAAACTATTTTGTTTTTCAAATATACAGGTCAAATGTCACCTGTACTGTGAAATTTCTTTGAACATCCCGGTTTTTTTTTTTTTTTTGCATCCATATTCCTTTGCACAAACTCCATTATATACAAAATGCCTCAGTTCAATTATAGTTTTGCCAGATTCTAAATGTGTGACCTTAAGCAAGTTACTTTAACTTCTTTGTGCTTCAGTAACCTCATTTGAAAAATAAGGATAACGGCACTTATTTTACAAGGTCGGTTTGGGGGTTAATGAGTTACTATCTGCAAAGTTCTTGGAGAAATGCCTGGCATGTAGTAAGGTTATATACATTGCTTGCTATTATCATTATTTTATGTTAAGTGAAAACAATCAGGACAAAAAAACTTTTATTCGTAGCCTATAAAAGTAGGGAACTGGCTCCATTTATAGCATGCCAGCAACCTTGCACTATCCTCACAGGCCACGTAGGCAAGGCTGAACTGCTGTCTGCCCCCAAGTCTTGGCAGAACATCCTGTGATCCTCCCAGAACACAGAAAGATAGTCTTGTGAGGAGATGCGTCAAATCTGCTTCTTATCTGTTTTTCACCCTTATGAGAGGCTCCCTATCTGGTGGGAGGGTATCACCAGGCAGTTTCTCATCTTTCTCCTTGTTTCCAGTAAGGCACAGGAGTTTCCACCATCCTCTCCTTGGGTTCGGATGCAGGTTACAGAATAGCTTCGCTGCAGCTGGCTATTCAGCAACATAGTTTCCCAGCACTCACTCATCTGGCCCCTCTAATTTGATATTGTCTTGTGGACAAAGGGACACCAGGAGCTGGTCCATGCTGATCTCGCTTATGTCTGTAAGTAATGAACTATATCCATTTGGGCTCATAGTTTCCTTATAGGATGGATCTATGAAAGTTTGCACTGTGGTTATGGGTTGCTTGATCTGCTGATAATAAACTCCTTGAGAGGAGACAATTATCTATTTTGTTGTCTCTGTATATCAAGTATCTGGTCTATAAGAACTGCACAGTAAGTGTTTGTTAAATTAAAAAATCTGGCAAACAATGATAAATATGTATTCAAGGATCCATAGTCCAGGATATATATCAAATCCATTATAGTGGGAACCTTGTGGGAGGGATAGAGAGTATAGAGGATGAAAGGGAAAAGAAAATGTAGTAAAATAAAATAACACAGGACATTTTATTCAGGAGGCTTTAAGAGCATATAACTGTCACCTAGGGAGAAAAAACCTTCAAGCTGTCTCATTATTCTTCCATTAATTTATATGACTATTTCATACCTTGTAAGCTTGACCTTATTTTCTGAACTGTAATACAAGGATGAAAGGCTAGATCAGTACCTTTCAAACTGTGTTCCAAGGAACCTTAATTTTTCCCCGAGGAGATGTCTCATGGATGATAGTATACTTTTCACCAAGGTAGTGGTTCTTTCATGTGTTTTATATGTTCGACTATCTCATGGAATTTTGTTTGAAGAAACGAGCTGGCAGTACGAGCCCAAATAAAACAAAAGAGACCTACAGACCACTGGCCTAACTCTAGCTCTAAAATTAATGTTTAACATAACAACTATAGTTAATAAGACTCCACTGTATACTGGGACTTCCTAAGTGGGTAGATTTCAGGTGCTCTTACCACACACACTCACACACACACAAAAATGGTAACGATGTGAGGAAATGCTGGAGTATAGGAATCATTTCACACATACAGGTATATCAAATCATGTTGTATGCCTTAAAGATATATCGTTTTTATTTAAAAATATAATGTCTAGATAGAGGTTAAGGTAAGGAAGCTTGATAACTACAAACTCAGGACTAAAGCAACACAGAGTTAAGAACAGAATTTAGATAATGGAACTCTTTGTGTGGTGGGGATTAGAAGGAAAGAATGGAAGATTTGCCAAAGACATAAATATTCTTAACTCAGAATTTTATTTAGGACAGTGCTGTAGTAGGACTCATAAATCTTGATTTCTTATTTGGAATCTAAGGAGGGTAACTTTGGAACTTGTGATACTTGTGAACTTTTAAACCCCAAATCACTCCTTTTACCTAAACAGATTGTACTCCTGTTGATTTCCTCAGTTTAAGCAGAGGAATTTGTAAAGTGTCTGGGTTGGATTGTTACAAACAGGCCAAGTCCAGGACCTAAACAAAGTTTTACACCAATTCTAAAATGCAGCTTCTCCCTTTAATGGTTCTGATATTAGGGTGCATCATGCAATCAATGTATACATTTAATAGGCTATTTTCCTTTGTTTTTCAATAAATAACACACAATTTGATGATGTCTTAAATTTGAGGAAATGCCCTAAATATACTTGAATGATAAGCTTATAATTTATTTATTTATATTTTACATTATTGTTCATTTTAAAATAAGCTTATAAACTTGAGCAAGCAACACTTGAGGTTGGGTCAATAGAGTCTTTACTCAGTCTTACTAGAGGGGTGAAACAATGATGGTGGAGGTTATGATTAATATGCTTACAGGAGAAAATTCAAGTATTTTGTGTCTTTTGAGACCCAGACTCAGCTTATCAGTATGCCACTGTCCACAATTATTCTTTATTCTTGTTATATTCACTGCTTACTCAAATAGATCATGTTATTTCATGCCTGGATACCATTCTCTGTGTTTCTATCTCTGCTTAGAATGCTCTTCATGAAATGTCATCTACTATAGAAATTTCATCCTCCCAAACAGACTTGACCTCTTTCTGTCTCACATCCCCATGTACCTGGTACATGCCTCTAAATATGTATTTACCATACTGAACCGCTATGACTTGTTAGGTGTTCATGTAAATTCCTTGCAGGCAACTACCATTTACATCTGTTTCCCTAGTAATTAGGACAGTACCTGTTATGTAGTTGTATTTGCTGAGTATTTAAAGATTAAACATATGGGAGAGAAAGAAAAAAAGTAACATACAGGTGAAGTGCCGTAGCACCAACAAATGTTTGATTTGCTACTGAGAGAGTGTCTATGTCGTACCTAGAACTCCAAACTTGTGTTAGTTAAATTGCGAACTCTTAGTTTGTTGAATATTAAAATGAGTTCGCTTGTTAGTTTTATCTTTCTAATTGATTATAAATTCATAGAGGGAGGAATAAAGTCTTCTGTTTTAGAAGTTTTAGATATATTGAATACTCCTATTCTGAGATGTGATTTAACTTCCAAAATTTCCTCTTCAAGATACCTTTATTATTAAAACTAGTAGCATTTTGCAGTGGAAAGGCTCACAACAGATTTATTTATTTAGGGTCTAGAATTTCTTCAGAGTTTAGAGCAATCCTCAATACTAGGCATTAAAAACATAATTTTACAGCAATTTAAGAGAGAGGAATTTGAATATTACTGGTAAAACCCTAGGAGCTCATTACTTCAAGTTCACTTGAAACCTTAACTCATTAGAATTTGAAAAATCTCCAGAGGTTCTTAAAAGTCACTATTCCCATTATGTTACTTGATTCAACTGAATGTTTCGAATTTGGCTAATAAGAGAAAGCATGCAAAAGAGAAATTCCATTTATCATTCACTTAGGGAAAAATATCAACCACCTTCTATGGGCACCTCAAAACACTATATTATAGAGTTTTGTAAAAGAGGGAGGGGGAAAGATAGATACATAACCCTGATCTGAAAAATTAAATTCCCAGCACTAGAACTACCTGCATATGTTACCAGAGTTGCATTCCATTCTAAGTTAGGTCTAGATTTTTTTTTTTTTTAAACAAGATCATTGTGAGGCTCAAACAAACAAAAGTAAGGAAGTATCATCGATATTAACGTTGCTATTATAAAGAAATGACTTAGCAAAAAGAATGTTCTCCAATATGCTGTAGCATTTTAAACACATTTTTATAGTTTGAAGTCAGAATTTCAGGTACAAAAATTAAGAAAAGGTCCCATTTTATATCCCTCAATAGAAGCCGAGTTATTTAAAGAAACGTAATCATAAGAGATAAGATAGATTCAAGGAAGAAACTATTTCATTCTGATGGGCTGTTAACTCATCTGAACTTCGGGACCAATCAGATGGCATATATGGGACAGAATTGGATGAAAAAGAATTCAGTCCAACCACACTGGGCAGTTTTAATAGGACAAATATATTGCATCATGTGATTCTATTACATTTATTAGTAAGTCTATTTTAAAAGATTTTTATTTTGCATTGAGATAACATTGGTTTATAATAACATATTATTCAGAGGTTTAAGATCACACCCTTCAGATACGTTACCCTACCAACTCAGGACAAAAGCACATTTACTAGTAAATCTTATCCACATGTATAAACTTTTGTGTATACTTTCCAATTTTAAACTATCTATCCAAATATTCCTAGCACCCAAAACGCAGAACCCATTATTTTACAGTCTTCCCTATGGTGTTGTGTATACAATAATTTTGTTATGATGCTCATACAGAAATGGAGGAGCGGGAGAAACTTACCACTAGATCTTCACAACATGCTGTGGATGAGTCCTTCCTTGTTAGTCCTAGGAATATATCTTCAGTTCTCACATGTTGTTTGAATATAATCTCATATCTGAAAAAAAAATGTCATTGATAGATTCAAATGAAAGAACAATTGCCAACCACAGAGCAAAAAGACTAGAACTCACAAAGAGGTGCTACTGATACTACAAAAAGTAAATGGTCTAAATAAAGTGCTTGCAGTTTTTCAGGCACGTAACAGAATGTAAAGAAGTAGTAGTCTAGAAATTCAGACAAAAATACCTAACTTTATAAAGCAGGATTTATATTATATATGCTCCTTTCCTGAAGTAAAACTGTTTTAGAGCTGTACAAATAAAATAGATGGCAGGAACTTCTAGTAAGATTGTAATAAGTTGCAATAGAAAGTGAAAAGGAAGATCCTCTCCTGAAAAACACGGGGCCAATGACCCAGGGTTTGATGGCTAGAAACACTCTTCTGTTAAGTTTAAGTCACAGAGTTAGAAAATTCAGGTTTAGAACTGTTTCTGTAATTTCACTGTGTGACCTTGGTCAAATCACACTCACGGAATCTTGGCTTCTACGTTTGTACAATTATGGGGGGGATGAATTTGAACTGAATGATCACTATGCTTCCATTTTTTTAGTTCTAAGACTTACAATAGAAACACTGGTATTGTAGTTAGCACAGCTACATGATTGTGTTTAGAATCTAGTCCTATAGAATTCTTAGCTCACTGAAAGATTTTTCTAGTACTTCACTTCATACACAGCAATTCACAAATCTTTCTGTGCCTCCAAATCTGGGGCCTTAGGGCTGAACTGCCTTATAGATACACCCAGTTATATAACACACCCTATCTCTTTAGGTGGAATGAAATAAACAAGTACAGACAATATTCTCTATTTAACTCTACCCTAGCAAAGAAATGGTAAATCTTTAGATAGAAAGACTAGAGTACTCCATCGACCATTTGCAAACAGTGCCCAAGAAAGAAAACAGACATTTAAAGGGGACTAACAATAACTAACTATCTGATATGGGGCATTTTTTTTCTTCCAGGTATTTAAAAGGTAAAACCAGTTTAAAATACAGCAGAAAGACTGCCCATCCATATGCTTGCGACTCCCAAATTGATTTGCTCTGGTTTCACTGCCATCCTCTTCTCCAGATGCAATTTTCCAAGTGCCTGGGATATGCCAAAGGCATACTCCACATTCCCCAAACCAGATTCACCATTTCCCTTCCACCTCTCTTCCACATACCCAGTCATCCAAGCTCATAAACTCAGCATCATCTTTGACGTTTCCCTCTCATCCATTATATCTAATCAAATGCTAAATCTTCCTTCAAAATCTCTCAAATAAAGACCCTCATACTTTCCCTCAAGGTCAATGACTTGGCTTAGGCCCTTATTACTTTTTATTTGGCCACTTGTGATTCTGCTTTTGTGACTGCCTGTTCACAATCTTTACCCATTTTCCTCTTTACCCACTGGAACATTTTGAAGTGTATTGGCCTAAGATAGAAAATAAAGATTAAAAAAAAATCTTATCAAGCAATTTTCTCCATATCCTGACTAGAGCTATTACTCATTTAAAGCTTTCAGGGAGGTCTTTGTACAGAACATCAAAAACATCAGGATGAAAAGTGAAATTTTACTCAGATTTGGAGCTTGCCACGTGTGCATGTTTGGCATTCATTAGGCAAGATTTCAAATGACTCACAGAGTTGTGACCTTTCATATGGATATGTGGCTACTACATACACGCAGCCTGAGATTTACTCTCTTCATTCTTAAGATGTCCCCAAAATTGTTTTTCAAATCCCCTTTAACTTTTTTTAATGAGGTTTATGAGTTTTTGGCATTGTTTATTTTAAAGCTGGATACTTTTTTCAGGTAATTATCTGTAGTCTCCCACTGCTTCTATATTCAGAACTGACGTAGGAGATAGAAACATAAGCTTTTTTAAAATAATAAAAAATTGGACACAGTTTTATAGTCAGAAAAGTTGTCAGATCACTTGCCATAGAAGGGTTTAAGGATTTATAAAATATAATTTAGTAATATGGCCTTTGTTTTTCAAGCTATTCAATCAAGATTTTATTTCTAAATACAAATTATTCAAAGTTCAGTGTATTTAAACCTTAATTTCAATTATATTTGCAAGCATACTGTAAATACCTTAAAAGTATGAATGATTTATCAGAAAGGCTTTTTATGATGACAATTCTAAATTTCATATTTACAGTTCTTGTTGAAAAGGTTACAATGTGAAGCTTCATCCCTGCTTGCAAAATGTACTAAACATAATCCTAAAAGGATTAATAAATTAGCTCCCAAGTAAAGCCTGATAATTGGAAGGAGAAAATCTTTGTGGACTATTAAGTTATTAAAAGCAGAAACATGATATAATACATAAACATGATATAATAATTTACTTTTTATGAATGCTTATAGTTGAATGGGCTGTTTTTTATCCATTGTTAGTTTCACATTATACAACTGACATTAAATATAAATTTATAATGGAAATGACTGTATTTTTCACTTTTTGTAAGATGATAACTGAAGGGAAGATGTTTTGCTTTATTATTTCTTTTAGCTCTAGAATGAAAAAAAATCATCAATTACCTATGCCTTCTGTGTGTCACTGTATTTTTATCTTTTGTGAGATAGAAGTTACTTTATGAATCTTGTCAAAAAGAGAATGGTATCAGAAGAGACATCTAACTTAAACCCCTAAACACATTCCTGGCTTCATTTGACTTACTCTGGTATTTCTCTAGCATCCCACATGTCATCATGCTCTGCTCCTTCTGGAACCTCATTGGCATTCCAGATGTTCTCTCTATTTTCATCACTTGTTTGCGGGATGACTGTGAAGAAAGGGAAGATAAAGCTGAAGCTGGTGCCTGTTTTCTCCCTCAAAATTGCTCCTGCTCTTTTATTCTCCTCAATTTGGGCATTGCTGAAGTAGAATATTTTCTATTTGTAATCACTACTATTTTTGGTCTAATAAAGCTAACAACTGATTTAAATTTTTTAATCACTATACAACCAAAACAATATAGAATTATATTAATTATATTAATAATATTAATAATTTGTATCAATATTATAATTAATATAATTTGAATTATATCAATTATATTATAATCATATTGATTATACTATAATTATATTAATGATATTATAATTAATAATAATATAATTTGAATAATATTAATAATTTGTAGAAAATTTGGAAAAGAGAAGCAAAAAAAAAGAAAGAAAAGAAATAATCTATAATCCAATTGCTTGGACATAATGTTAGCATTCTGATGTACATCTTTTCTTTATATACATATATATATATATATATACACACACACACACATCTATGTTTCTGTGTGTGCATGTATGGTGACATAATGTATACATATTTGATGTTAAATCATCTATTATATAGACAATTATACTATACTAATATATATGTGCAGAACAACTATATATTTCCCAAAAACGTGTAAGATCATATGTGAAATATTTTTATAAAAAAGAGTAAATTAAGCAATCAATCTGATTCAGATAGAAGTGTCTTATCTTACATTGTGTTTTATTGTATAAAAGCACTTTGAGATTTTTTCATACATGAGATAATTTCATACATGAGATAATTCTTTAAAAATACTATTGATTACAGAAACTGAAAGCTGATACTATGATCATGTTCTTAATCCAATAATTTCCAGTGTAGACATGAGCTTTAAAGAAAATCTCTATCACTTATCCTTTATTTAGAACCCAAGTCTGTGCTCAGGTTTTTCCATGGCATCCTTAAAAGTAACCAGACATTCAAAAACCCAGTTTATATTTGTTCCAGCTATTAGGGAAGTAAAAAGAGACCCACTTTTTTAAAGTCCATTTAAGCATCCCCAGAAATGCACTTAATTGTCAGATTTTCAATTCTACCAATTCTTTTGAAATTATCGGCTTCTATCCAGCATGTGTTTGGAAATCCTAAGTACACATTTGTATATAACATTTTACATATGACTCACTATTCTCAGAATTAAGAGATTATTAGGCCAACATTATTAGAAATATAGTCAGCACAGAAATATATCCAAATTTGAAACAGACTTCCATGGAGGGAATATCTTTTGAACAAGGCAAATAGACTCATGTGTATATAGAGCAATTATAACTGAGATTATAAAATCACCCCCTTGGATCTCATTTTAGTCACTATTTTAAACATTTTTCCAGATAAAATCTTTTACAGTTAGCTAAATTGATGAAGGAACTTACTTCATTTCCTTTCCCTGCCTACTCTTTGGTAACTGTGATCGTAACTAACAGAATTAGAGCCTTTTATATTTTTATATTTTTAAAGATGTGTAAAATGTCCAACTTTGTGAAAATGTATAGGCCAAAATGCTGGGAAAACATCCAAAATTATTTATCCTAGTTTATTGGACCCATGACTTGATAAGTCACCCCATAAGAATTTCAACTAAGATTAACTTGTGTAATTATTTGTTTTATTAGTTTAATGGGGGCAAGGGCCCTTTCTATTTTGATCTCCCTCATAGTCTCAGAGACGATTATATTGCCTAGTACATAATAGGCTCTCATTAAATATTTATTGAATAAATTCTATGAAATTGCCAGAATGGAGCAGGGCAGAAGGTAAAAGAGCTAAGCATCCTGGTAACTAGACCCTAAATAATAAAAAGTTATCTAACCACATATAACTTTCTTGGTCTTCTATCTCAGGAAACATACCCCCAAATGTGAGGAATTCAAGGCAAATTAATTTCTATTACTAGAAAGACAACTTACCTACAACAGTAAAGTAAAAACAACATCTTTGTATGTAAATGATTGTCCATCATTACCACAATTAAGATCAGCTTAAACAAGTGCTAGTCTTAGTTCTACTCTGCCTAGGGCTTTGTTTCCAAAGAAAACCTATTGATTGTATTTATCTCTATATTTTATTAAATAACTTACCTTTGAGCACTTCAGTTTTTGGTGGCCCAATATTCCCAGGACCCATTGCTCCAATGGCAGATGAAGAATTTGGCTGGATGACAAGAAAAATAGCTCAACATTCTGTAATAACTATTTGTATGACTTATATGGTCAATTTTATTTTCAGTTTGATAAGCTTCCCACCTAAAAACTCACAGGACTTTCTAGTTTACTTGCTCATCAGGTTATACAATAGAACAGACACAAAATATTATTTTCCTTGTACTTATAAAATACTATTTTGTTTAATAGACATGATGGCAGAATTAATCTCTGATCAGAGTAAATCCCCAATTCCAGCCCAGTGAATCATGTGTCATTGGGGGAAGGAGCCATATTCATCTCCTTGAAGGTTAAAACCAAGTGTTAGCCTAAGATTATCGACATCTTTGCATTTTGGCAATGTCTAGTGATAGATGGGAGAAGAAGTATGGGGAAGTTTTAGAGAAATAAAAAGAAAGCACTACATGGTGAGTATGTATTTAGGCATCAAATGATTCATTCAAAAGTCTTGATAACAGCTTTTACTTCTTTCCATTGCATATAAAATGTCTCTATCCTACCACCTCATGGCACTGATCTAATGGATTTAATCAACAATCCAAAATTAATGGTGTCAAAAACATGCTGATGTATTCAGCATACATGCATATATGAGTTTATTGTACCATCTCCCGCACAGTCAAAATTACTTATAACCCAGAGAGGACTGCCACTGTCTCACCTGTACAAGAATAGTCTTTTTTCAACTAGGTATAACACATATTACATGTAGTTCAGTATAGTGGCAAGCACTCTCAGGGGTTCTTTAATATCTCAAGAAATATCCCAATTTTTACCAATAGTTCTTGTTTGTATCAGACTCTACAGCTCCAACTCACTCTACTGTTTGAAATTTTAAAAAAATTCTTATCTCCTTGAATCTCGGCAAACTCGGCTGCCACCTCTTCCTTTCTCAGCTCCCTGACCTTGTACAAACGTTATGGTGTCCTGTTTGGGCAAGAAGAATAATGTCTGTCCTTGAAAGCTGGTGGAAAAGACCACCTGTATCTTTATGATGCGAAACTTTTCTTAACTGTTTCTAAGACAATGACGATTCCTTACCAAAGGGTTTTCAAAACTGCTATGTCTGAGTGTTGCAGCATTTTTTAATCAGTAAGGTCCTTATAAACATGTGTGCTTTTCTTAAATTATTAATCAGCAGACTACTAATAGTTAATCAGGGTAAAGCAATTCTCAGAACCCATGAGCCTCCTGTTTTGTCAGATACCTCTTTCCATGGAAAATTTAAACCTGTAGAAATAAAACCTTGAAAATTCCTGACCAAAAAGGTATATTCTCCAGGCACAATAACTACTTGATCAGTATATCAGAACAGAGGGAAGTTTCAGTTTATTAACTTAATGAAAACAAATGATTGAAAATAAAAATTTCAAGTGAAAAGATGGATCGGAACAATAAAAACACTAAAAACCATCTGGTAATTGTTTTCTATACCAATGTCATTTGAGCCTGTACCATGAATCCACATTCAATTACCTAAACAATTTATCATTGTAATTAATGCCACTTTGCAATATGTAAAAGAGTTAGAACATCCTGTTGCATTGTCTGCGATGAGTGGTAAACTTTATTTCTCACTGCTCTTAACATCCCTTTAAGAATTTAAAAAACAAGGCCCTCCCTGGTGGCACAGCGGGTTAAAGCACAGCAGTAGGAAACTAAAACGACCTCTGCATGAGTTTGGCTATCAGCCTGTTCTGCTCCCCACCTCTGTCTCTGGTGAATCCTCTCATCACGCCTGTACCGTAGTCTGTATGCACAAATAAATAAATCTTTTTTAAAAAAGAATTTAAAAAACACAGGCACACTCTCTTCCTAATCTTGCAGGTTTTTTTTTTTTTAAAGATTTATTTATTGGGCCCTCCCTGGTGGCGCAGCGGGTTAAAGCACTGCACTGAGAAGCTTAAGCCACTTCCGCATGAGTTTGATCCCAGGCTACCCGGGAGGTGACCACATGGCGCAGCAGACCTCTCCTGACCCGCCCGCTGCTCCCCTCAGCAGTGTACTTAGTCAATTTTCCTGTTCTGCTCCCCGCTCTGTCTCTGGTGAATCTTATCACCCTCCGTACCTTTGGCCTGTACCCCAGTTCTGTATGACCCCTTTATTTATTTATTCATACAGAACTGGGGTACAGGCCAGAGGTGCAGGGGTGGTGAGAGGTTTCACCAGAGTCAGTGGGGTGCAGATCAGGCAGTTGGATGAAGCACACTGCTGAGGGGAGCAGCGGGCAGGCCAGGAAAGGTCTGCCGTGCCATGTGGGTCACCTCCGAGGCGATAGAACTCACACTGAAGCGGCTGCAGCCAGCTTGCAGTGTTGTGTCCTAACCGGTTGCGCCACCAGGGAGGGCCCTAATCTTGCAGATTCTTAACAATTCACACTGGGGACTGCATAAGTGAACCAATGTGTATGCAACCGTTTTCAATATTGTTTTTAAAAAGTATATGTTCAAAAACACATCATTCTTTGTAATCATTCCATAGTTGCTAAGATTAATACATGCTAAAAATGAGCTTTTTCTCTCCTGGAAAATTTAATAGTTCATTAGTAACATTAATTATTCTCCCACTGTTCTGATACTCCAATTCTATATCCTTTAATGATATCTGTACTGTGGTGTCTGAATGACCAATTATCTCAAAATTGCTTATAACCACCCAGATATACAGACTCATACATTATTATAGCAATTTTCCTCTATAAATTGTACAATTTGGTAAAATGATCCTAGGCTCTCTGTTCTCAGAAGTACTCATTTTTATCCTAGAAACACCTTTAGATGCAAATAAATATCTCCATTGACAAACATCAAAAGGAAAAGGGTTTGTAACCGGGTAAATTCTTATCTTTGACTCTGCTCCAGTTACAGCTTCCGCTTCTCTTTTTCAAGATCACTAGTTCTCAAATACCGTACTTTTCCCAGGATGTCACCTCCTGAAAATTATCATTCTAATTCAGCTAAAGGTAGCAAAAATGAACTTTCCTTCCCAAATTCACTGACACAACACTTCTGACATTTTTCTGGTGTGGTATTTGTTGTATTTAGTATTTAATGTTCCTATTAATGTACTTATTTTTTTTTCTTTATTTGCTTGGCCTCTACTAGTAATTTTACCTCATTCAAATTTGTTAGCTCTTGATCCTGGCTCAAAGCTGACTCAATTTCCCTTCCTACAAATTTTATTTCCATTGTATGATTTGATTCTGTCCTGTTCCATTGAAACTCTTCCAGGAGGTGGGAGTAAGGGCAGGTGGAAACTCAATGCAATGTCCATCTGAGTTTGCTCCTGACTGAAGTTATACTAGTCAAAATGGGAGGATCGACTGACAGGTATGTTGGTGGTAAATAACAAAAAAATATTGTAATAACAAAAAATATTAAAATCAAAGCTATATATTTTGCTATATCATAACTCTTTCCCACATTTAGTTTGCTTCCACATAGGCAGTTTGATAGCCAGGATTCACTTATATCTAAGGTGTAGGAGAATGAAGAACAGGGGGTTACGTCAAAGGATTTTGATTATTCTGGGATTACTGGCAGTGACATTGAGTGGATGGGGAACTCTCCCATCCAAAATGAAAGCCATCTTGCTGTTGCAAGCCTCCCTGAATTACTGATCCTGACCCCAAATGCTAGTCAACTAATTAGATTCCACCATGTTCTATCTGAGCATGTACCCAGAAGCAATTTTAGTAGGTTGAAGCTAATTTGTCCCATTATTTGGCTCAAAATATTTTCTGTTCTGCTTTCATATGTCGACAAATAAAAACAATTAAGGGAACTGAATTTTGGGGGTCTAATTAATACTGTCTAATTGGAGTAATTTGTTTTATAGCTATGCTTAAAAATCCTAGATACCGCTCTTTGAAATGGTTGTCAAGCATTCTTTAGTCATAAATATAAATGACAAACATTTTGAAATGTGGCTATTGCTACCATAGTTACAGAACTATTTTCCTATTCACTGCTCAGGTAGTTTAGAAAAAATATAATTATGTTTGCTAGAAATGTACTAGAGGTTATGCTCTCATGCATAATCAGTCCTGCAACCTCCTGTGAGTGTATCAGATGACACAACCCTGCTCCCACCACAAGGTTGGAACAAGTTGTTCAAGTACAGTTTCACAACTTATGTGAACAGAACAATTCATTTGTAAGGATATGACCACCTGTCCGAACTCAAAATCCTCTTCTTCAGGATAAAGCAGCTTAGAAAGGGCTTGTAGTGCAGCAACTGAAGAAACAGTTTCAATTTCCATGTTTTCAGGTTCAGTATTTTCAGTTTCCATATTTTCAGTTTCTGTATTTTCCGAGTCCATGCTTTCAGCATCCATATTCTGAGGAAGAAGATCAGAAAGATGAATTTTAGTTTTCCATTTTAAGACATGACTTTTTCTCCTGTTGTCTCCCTTCTTTTCTTAGATCACTCTGTTACAGGTTCCCCCTGCCATCTGACAAGAGTATTCCATGAAATTTTTTTAGGTCAAAATGATGTAAAGTGAAGAAGCAATCCCCATTAATTTACATTGAATTTGTTGTTGAGAATTGTCAAAGATCATACCAAACAGCACATAAAATCTAAAGTTATACTAACATATAGTAAAAGTAGAAGTTATTATAGCCGCACAAGCTGTATAAAGTAGTTGAGGAATTCCAGGGAGGAATTTGGCAGTACCACTCTCACTGCTTGGGAGTGTGGGCTGCCTTCATAATGCTAGTTGCAAAACCAACCCAGAACTCGATGTTTGCTTTCCACTTTTTGTGATAAAAGAAAAAAACCCTCTTGATTTCTTTTGGTTAGTGAAAGCAGGTATCGACGCATTTCATAAAAGTGAAGTAGTGTTAGCATAAACCCTTGGAAGGGTAGCTGTGTCTCTTACTCCTCCTTGAGAATCATTGTAAATGTCTTCAATGTATGTATTTTCTGACTCAGAGATCTGGGAGCAGCAAGTCAATTCAACATTCAATTTGCTTTATTAAAATTTCATTCTCAATCTAACAAGCATTTATTTTATACTTACTAAAGTAGTTCTCAAGTTTTAGTGTACCTAAGAACCACTTGGGAGGTTAAGTTTAAATAGCAGATTCTTACAATACAAAAAGTATTGTCTCCTTCACACTTACTTCATCTACCTCAAAATTGTGGCTGAAGGGGAGGGGTTGGGGTGGGGGCAGAAGGGCCCAATGGAGCATAGTGGAGAATTACTGGGGTTTTGGTGATTAGCATGGTGTGAAAATATACATTCATTGAGGTATAAACTATAACCACTAAAGCAAATGCAGTATTGCAAACCAACATTACTTCAATGAAAATGTATACTGTGTGGAGTAATTTTATACTTCTGATATTTGTGAAACATTACCTTATTAAATTAATTGGCAGGAAATTTTTCTGTAATGCCTTTATTAAATGATCCTCTAAAATTTTTGCATTGTGCCTAGGGCAGCACTACAGAGAGACTCTCACATGTGCACTGGAGCCGTCACCTGTCAAAATCAATCTGCATGCAGATGGTATTATACAAACCTTCTGCTTTATTATTATGTTTTACTGTTGCTTCGACTTTCTTTGTTAAATAGGAAACTGTTTTTAATGCCTGTCAGAGATGCGAAGGGTATGGAAAAAATGTTAAACTGCCCTGTACATCTAACATAGAGGCAGTATGTCACAGTGGTTAAAAACAAGACTTGTGGAGTTAGACTGCCTTGATTTGTCTGTCATTTTCTTCCTAGCCCTGTGACTTTGAGCAAAATCGTTTGAACTCTCTTATGGATTTCTCCCCATATCCAAAGTAGTGTATTCCTAGGAAACCTTTTATAAACCAAAATGATGTGAAGTAAAAATGAATCACTATTAAACGATATGGAAAATAGATATGGTTATCCTCGGGTCCAAAAATAACCTACCAAATAACACATAAAAAACTAAAATCACACTATTGTAAAGGAAGAGTGATAAGATAAATGCACAACCTGTATAACATAGTTCCAAGGGAAGGAGGTTGATCCTGCCTCTAGAACAATTGCTGTAAACCAACCTGGACACTATGCTTGCTTTTCACTTTTTGTTGTTAAAGTGGAAATCCTCTTCTGATTTCTTTTGCTTAGCAAAAACAGATAAGTCTTTCTAAAATCAATTGTCACAGATGAAGTCTAAAAAAGCAGAGGATACTTGTACCTCATTTTCCTTATCTGTAAAATGGGGACAAGAATGGAGCTAACTCATAGGATTATTACAATGATTCAGTACCTTCATACACATAAAAGAACTTGGAACACTGTCTAGCACATAGTAAGTAGTCAACATATATTATTTATTATTGGCTCTTTAAAAGTTTAATTTTGCTGGGCATGAATATTGCTTCTAATAATGATGTGGAATAAGTTAATGATAAAACTCATTATACTGAAAACTCATTAAATTGAAAAAGGTGAAATAAGAGGTGATAAAACAATCTTCTTTCACAGTATGGTGTGGTAGTCTGCTATGGAAATGAATAATTGACACAATTAATTAAACAAAGAAGCTACTGTTTATATTTCAAAAGTCCTAGTTGATTACATGTTCATTAAATATTTACTTAACATTAAAAACAAATATTTTTGAAATACTTTTTACCTTCGGTTATGAAAAAGAAAAATGCATCCAGATATCAGATGCAATGATATAACCATCATTTTGAGTTGAAAGCATATAAATGAGACTTAAAACAATACATAGCAGAAGTTGTTTGATTATTCCAGCATTATCTACCTTACAGAACTGTTGTTATGGTCATATTGTGCAATGAAAGTAAAAGAGTTTGCTAAAATATGAAAAGTTATATATAAAAATATCATTATTATCTGACATATAGTGCCAGTACCCACAGACACTTGATTATAAGGCTTGTGTGAGTTCAATGGTAGGCTGATGAGAGGGAAATATCCAGAGCCAGTAAAGCTAACCTAGAAGAAGGCTATTTAGATGTCCCAAATACAGAGGCTCAGGTAGCAATCAAAATTGCTATTCATGCAGTAACATCTACTTGGCAGGGATATGGCAGTGGGAATTTCAGGGCACAAGCAAATGTCTCAGGTTAATACTCTTTTTTTTGCAGGGAGGCCAGTTTAGGATTCTAACCCATAAGTATCCGGGTATGGGAACTACAGTCCAGTTCCTGAGGATTGTAAGGGAGCTGGCAGTTCGGTGAAAGTTCAGAGTAGGTAAAGCTACAAAAGAGAACCAGGAAATACATCAAAGGCTTTTTCATGTCATCTGGGTAGCCACGATGGAAGTTATGAAGAAAGGCTGTGGATCAGTGGGTGCACTGGATTCTGTTTTGGGGGAGAGCAGATTAACTCTAAATCCTCACCAGGTGGGAAGGAGCTCTGGCCTGGTTCTCCTCTGGTGAGAGGCAGGGCAGTGTGGGCAGTGGGCTGCCATGCCAGTAGGCTGAATAAATGTCTTCAATAACTACAGCTAGCACACAGTCAGCAGTTGATGAATACTGAATGGAGCATGATTAAATTCCTATGAATGTTGCATTTCACAGTCATCACCTTAGAAGGTTATATACTGAATTATACTATGAATGCTCAAAATATTTTGGAATTGCCTTCATATGCACCACCAAGAAAATAGGTATCATTATGGTATTACACCATTTGCTTACACATCAGATTTGTCTCCAAGCAGTTTGTAGATATAGCTAGATATTACATCTGCTTTCAGAATGTGAAGATTTGCTTTAAAGATATTCAAAAGAATGTGCCATAGGCTTCAAGGCAATTCTAAAATAGTTTCAAAGGGAATTTGAGCAATACTACCAGCATTAGATAGCCTCCCAAAGTAGCTACTTTGAAGGAGATGCCACTCCTTGAGATGTTTATGCTTGAGAATATTTGATAAACAAATAATTCACAATAACTTATAGTGACACAATACTTGATGCATATCAGGAGCTAGACTTCTTAAATTCCAAATTATGCTGGCATAAAATGGCACAGGTTTACACTTAGTTAAATTGGAGTAGAAGTATCATAATAAAATTGGCCCATAAGCAGAGATAATTTTTACCATATCAACAGTAATAATCAAATATAAACACAAAATTAAAAAATCATGACAACTGCTCATATTGCATTTTGGGAAACAAAGAAATTAAATATTTTATGATCACTACATAGTTGAAAATATCAAAAGTATAACAATGACACGAATTTTAGGGGAAATATTCTAAATTCAATGGAAATAAAGATTTTACTAGCTCTTTCAGAAGTCTAACAAATTAGGAATAGTTAAACTTTATTAAAATCTATTAAAGTTCATGTGACACAAACATATCCTATTATAAAAAAACTAAAGCAAGATATACCTGATTACGATCTATGCAGTGCTATGTATTTGTAACACTTTCATTTCTAAATTTGATATACATAAATTTCATTTTGAGTTTAGCCATCAAGTTCTTTCAGGCTATAACCCCAGGTCTAATTTACTACTCTTCCCTTCTGTTATTCTGTCAGGTATTCTGTTTTGTTAAAAACTGAACTGATTATTAGAAACCTTAGAGTCCTCCACCTTTATACCTTGGAATGTATTTTTTCCTTTTGCCTAGGCTACTCAGGTAGTAGAGTGTAGAATTAAGAAAAAATTCTGGAACTTCACTGCTTGTGTTTGAATCAGGCATTGCCACTTAAATATATATCCAAAATAAATTTAAATGTAGGAAAATTTAAGTAGGAATTTCACTGTAAACAAAATATATTACTAAGTATATTTGAGATTTGGCTATTTAGAAAACAAATTCCATAGGGCTGTTGTTTTTCTTTTTTCTACTTTTGCTAGGCCAATTCCAGTGGCAACATTTTCCAGACAGTGGGTTTGGTTTTCCTGCATTAACCTTGGGATTTTAAACACAGAAGTGTGATTGGGGCAATCTCTCTTTGTGCTAGCCACAATGAGCTAGAGAGACAGACACTTCAGAACCAGTCCATTACCAAAACATTGAGGCCAGTTACCAATACAGCAAGCTCAACCAGGATGGCTCCAGACCCTGAAGTAACTGGAGATTAAAGCAGATTCTGGTTGTCAGAGATGACAAAGTCATGCTTTCTATTTATTTGCCTGCACCTACAGTGTCAATAGAGATGGCTCTTTGACTTTAAATGAGGACAAATGTAGGTTAAGTTAGTGAAAGCTCTGAATTCCAGACTATTCAAAAAGAAATTATATTTCATTAACCCATGTATACATATTAATTAATATCAGAATAATAAAGAAGCGCCAAATTAGTGTATTGGGGAACCAAATTAAGTTAGTAGGTAAATACATATTCCCATGTAAAATACTGTTTATAGCAGAATGACAACATATTCAAAATCCATTTACTCTCTTAAGTAAATTTGGCATTTCTCCTGCAACTTTATTTATGTAGTACTTTATTAGTATTATATAAATTATTTAGTAATTTCTGCATTAAAATTCTTCACAAAACCAGAAGTAAACATCACTGCCTATGTCCAAATTATAATAAACTGGCTTTTTTTTTTTTTTACATTTCTTGACAATTATATTCCTCACTGATCCCCAATCTATTTTTAAAAAGTCATTTTGCCTTTGTCTTTACAACAGCAAAAATGCTTTATCTTTCTAGGCCTTTCCCCACTGCCATTAAATATACAAAATCTTAAGTAACTACCAGGACTTTTCAGAGCTTACAAACTTAAAATGTATTTAATGGAAGGTAGTTTTTGAAACTTCCTGGAATTGTTCATAAACCCAAAGGGATTCAGGAAATGAATCTCTTTTGATTTAATCTTTCTTCTATTATCTTTATTTTAGTCAAAATGAATACACTTGTCAGTATTTTATTTCTCTGTCTCATTCTTATATACCACCTCAATCTAAAAGGTAGTTGAGGCAGCAAGTTTTCTTTCCGTGCTTGGGAATTCTCTCCCCCAGTCAACAGACCTGCTTTCCTCATTTCTTTAGGAAAATGTCTGTTTTGAATCCTCTCAAAAGGACTCTCTTAGGAGAAATAACCCCCAGCTTTCTAATCAAACTTAGTCCTCTACCCTCACTCCGATTTCATTTTTGGACACAGTTCCTTACCTTCTCTCAGGGATTCTCCAACCAGCTTTTGGCAAATAGCAGTATTTGGTAGGTATAAGTAGTACGAATAGTCTGAACACCACGCTCCCACCCACTAAATGTGGTCTGGTCTAACTGTTTCTTACTCAACGGATCCGACCAACGTCATCCGTTAGAACCTTCAGGTCACAGCGTTTACATTCCCACACACAGGACATTGTTCACGTACCAATGACACGGGCCAATTTACCCCCTTAAGTCTGAAAATTTATACCGCCTAAAAAATAGATCCCCACTAAGGCATACTGGTCCAGCGAAAATCATGACTGTATGTGGCAACTAGAAGCTGTAGAGGCTGTCCCAACGTGGAGCAGCACCCAGATAGAAGTACCAGTAAAGAAACAGTTGTCACTCTTAAATCACCGTTATATCAACAAGTGTGTGTGAGTCTAAAGGCATTGGGAAGCTTCCACATGCTCATTCTGACAGTTGATTAGTATCCATCCCCTGTGTGATAGGATTTCCTTATTTTGGTTAAGGCTACGTCAGCTTCTAGGATCTGGGGCAGGGGAGTCAGGACGAGGATCAGTTCGCTCAACAATTTGGGGTTTGGGGGGGTATCTCTCTGAATCGCCAGGATCTAGACTTGTTCCTAGATTGTCCGAAGGCCACGGTACTTGAGTACCCCCATATTCCCCCACCTAAAGTTAAGGATTTCCTCACCTGGGTCTGTTCTCGGCTAGTGGTTATAGTGGCGAGGTCTGCGTCTCTGTTGCCTGGGTAACCACTTTGTTTCCCCCGCCCCCTACCACCACCTGCGAGTTCCCGCTTGACTTCCTGGCCAATCACAGAAGAGTCTGCTTTGAAATCACCCGAGAATCAACCAATCAAAGCGCGAGCCAGTCAGGGTCAGCCACTGCCCTTTTCAGTTTACTAGTCGACCCCATTTAATCCTCGGTCTAGTTTAGCTAGTCTCCGGCAAGAACCTGCCCACTGAGAAGGCCGGTTCTTTCCGGCCAGCGTGGGCCCGGGCCAACCCCTCAGGCGGCTGCGCCTTCTCAGCGGCCTACCATTGACGCTGGGGTCTGGACAGCGAGCGGCCACTGAGGTAAGTTGCAGGTTGCTATCCATTCCGCTTTTGCAGCACGTGAATTCCAGATCCAGCCGCTCCTTCTAGATCTGGCTCTCCTTCGGAGAGGCTGGGATGGAAGGGTGGCTTCAGGGAGCAGGATTGTGAAGAGAGATTTGAGAAGGTATTGCTGCCTCACTACTCGCGCTCCCCACGCCCCCATCCCAGCTGCTTGATAGACTCTTGGGGTTCCGTGACGTTCGGCTTGCTTAGTGTGTGTGTGTGTGTGTTCGCGCGCGCTCGCGTATCCCTACCTCCCCCCAACTTCCACCCCCCCAGCCTCACCCCCCCCCCTCGCTCCTCCTACCCCCCGCTGTGGGTAAGCCTCCTGGGCCCGAAGCCCCAAAGGAAGCACTTCTTCCACCGCTAAGCGGGAGGTTCCTCTCCTGGGAATATCGGGACCCAGTGCCCTGCTTTTCCCGCCTTGGAGCGTAGAAACGCAGGCGCGCGATCCGCCGGCTGCTGCGTGACAATCTGGATATCTTCACGTCACCCAGAGGTACAGTCGTGACCCCAGTTTCCCGGGAATTCCGTGATCTGGTGTTTAACAAAGGGAGAAAACAAGGGATGACTTAATAAATATTTGAATAAATAAATAATATTTCTGAACTGATTTGCTGTGTTGCATGGTGGGACCCTGAATATATTGTTTGAGCGTCACAAGGAGAGATAGGAATCTTTTAATGGATGGTTGTTTTTGGTTATCTGGGGATTGGAATTAGATTATGAATTAACTAAACTGTTTTCCTCCTTACTGCTCTCATGGTTTTTCTACTTTCCACCCCACCTGGTGAAGGGAATACTGAAGCTTGAGTTATTTGTCCTTTCTACTTGTTATTAGCTACAATAAACAAACAAAAAATGGAGATAGAATATTTAAGTTATTGACTAAAGTAAAGTTGCTGGTTTTTTGGACACATTGCCTGTATTTGAATTCCCTTTATCATTGTAGATGATCAGACTTTTAAATTTTGTTATTTTTTTACTTGTGGAGCTTAAGTTGTTTTTTTTTTTTCTTCATGCTTCCTTTTGTATTTCAATTCTACCCTCCTTGCACATTATTCTAAGTCTTTAATGACAAACTAGTGCCTTTGGTCTATGATTCACAGTAAGAAATAATTTTTTATTGTACCCTAATACATACACAATATATAACTGATAAATTTTGCATAAACAATACCTACCTCATGCAACTGCATGATACATCCCACTATATTTTTTTTTAAATGTAGATCACAACCCACTAAAGATTTGTCATTAATAGTTTGAAAAACACTGACCTCAGACCTTTGGCTTTCAAACTTGTGTGTTTAGCAATCACTTAGGAAATGTGTTACGAATGCAGATTTTCCTGCTATCTCCAGGAATTCTGTGGGTCTGTGGTGGGACCCCAGAAGGTGGTTCATATAGACAGTATATGCACTGGTACAGTGCTAGATGCACTGGTATTCAATAAATTATAATTTTATTCCTGGGAAATGAGAGCTATTTAGCTTTAGAGATATAATTTATTTTTTCAGGTTTGACCTGCCCCTGTCAAGGCAGAATCCAATGCAAGACACTGTTTTCCTAAGGGTTAAGGAGGTAGGAAGTTAGGAGATTGTTCTAGGATCTGAGCTGAATCTGTAAGCTTTTCAGTTCTCTGGAAAATTGCATAAATTCAGAAAATTAGGAATTGAGGGACACAAAGTTTACAGAAGTTCAGTGACTTGCCCAGAGTCATGTTGTCAGGGAGTGAATCACAGAGAAAAGGGCTCTCCTGATTAAGTCTAATCAGATCTAGAGGAGAAGTTAATGCAGGAGAACTTCCCTGACTTGAGTTTCCTAACATTTGTTGTCGAGTTTCTGCTTTGAGTAGTAATTTTAAAATAATGAAACTGGAGAGATCTGAAAGGGAAAAAAAAAACACCAAAAAGTTTAAACACTAGTCATTATTTAATAAGGATAAAAAGAAAATGAAATGTAAAGTATCATTCTATTACCAAAATATAACTCATTTCTGTTCCTCTTCTATTTTATACATAGGTAACCGTATTTACATAATCATCTTTGTTTATATAAGTTTTGTACCTTTTATTTAATTTTCCTTCAGAAATTTTCCTAGGTTGTTGATTGTTTTCATATTTTTCAAGATAGCAACCTAATTTCCTTACAATGAGGTACCCATAATTGACTCAGCCTAACTAAATCTGTGACAGAAGATTTATTTCCAGTCATTCCATGTTATCAATAACACTGTTCAGTCTTGGTTATTTAAAGTAATTTATATAAATTTTGCCTCCCTTGACATGTAAGAGGAGGGATCTGGACCCCAGCTGTGAGTTTTGTCTTCTTGGGTGTATATATTTGTTCATCCAAATTTCTGTGTGCTACAGCAGCACTGATCAATCATGATATCCTTTATACATATGAATTAGTTGAGTGTATTTAACTCATAAGAATAGACATTTTCAAAATAACTTACTTTAAAAAATATATGTATTATATCAGACTAAAGCAGGTTCAAGTGCCCTAACAACACTCATGTTGATTAGCTTTCTTTATGAATATCTTTTCCAAAGATTATATGAGTATGTATTCATTTATAATTTAAAAAATTTTTATAAAGGAGCTAATTAAGTTACCTGGCTGAATAAAAGCTATAATTGGCCTATATTAGCCCATCTTTCTTTTCAAAGCTAATGTGTTATCTTATCTTCTGTCTTTCTAAAATGTTGACTAGTCCCTCTTTTTGAACTTAAAGATTTCAGAACTCATACATGGTACAAGGAAGAAGAATGCTGTGGAATATATATAAAATAAAAATAAACTTAAAAGATTTCAAATGGAAAAGGATAGACTATTATACCCCACTATTCAGATACCTACCAAATGATTTAACAGTTGTTAACATTTTGCATATTTTATTTAGGCACTTTTAAAAAAAAAATCAAACATTGCAACTACCTCTTTATACCCCTCCAGTCTCACCGCCTTCCCATTCTTGGAAATAATTGCCCTTCTGAAGTTTGCTTTGTATTTTTCCAATCTGTTTTGTATAATGCACTCAGATGTAGAAGGCCATAAATGATTTATTTCTTTCAGCATTCACATATATAGTATACTTTGCTTGAATAAAACTATTTTTGGTAAGCATTGTTTTAGAGTTGATAATGTAGTTAATTTTTGTTGCTGTAAATGTGTTCCACCATACCTCTATACTACTTTTTAAAATCTCCATTCCTCTTTTGTTGGACATTTAGTTTGTCTCAAATATACATGTAAGCCATGCTAATACTGTATAGAGACAGAAAGTAGAATGGAGGTTACTAGAGGCTGGGGTAAGTGGGGGGGGCATTGTTCAATGGGTGAAGTTTCTGTTTGGGATTATGGAAAAGTTTTGTTAAGAAAGAGTGGTGATGGTTGAACAACATTGTGAGTGTACTTAATATCACTAGATTGTACACTTAAAGTGATTAAAATGATAAAAGTTGAGTTAGCATATTTTGCCACAGTAAACAAAAAGTATGAATGTAAAAATTTTCAAAAGCTTGTTTTATTGCCTTTTTGTTTTAATATGGCATGTAACTCTGAGAAAAGACTTACTTTAAAAAATAAGTTTTGTTAGTCAGATCTATCTTTCCCAGTAAGATGATAGTTTCTGATCTTTAATGATTACTATTACTTGCATGCTTTTGTAAAGTTTTTGTAAATTGCTTGCTTCTGAAATCTGTGGGGTTTTTTTCTTTGTTTACCCAGTATTTTGAAGATTCTTCTGGAAGTGGGTGTGCCTTTGAATTTTTTTTTGTATTTGAATGCCATTCCTCTTTTGGTTCTAGTTTCAAGTGTTTTACTTTTTCTTTTCTCTTCCTTCTTCCCTATAACCCTGTTCTTCCTTTGCTTCCTCCCTCCTCCCCTCCCTCACCTCCCCAGCACCCATGTTCTGTCCTCTTTGAAGTTCTCCTCACCCCCTTAAGCCCCACCCCTTCTCTTGGGTCCTTTTCTCCCTCTATGGAATCCTGCCCCATCGCCCCTTTACTCCCTTACCTCATGTTGATCCCCCCCAACTTTGTAACTGCTAAAGGCATTTGTTGAGGGTGAGACCTCACAGCAATTCACAGTCTTCTACAATGCCATGCTTTTAATATTTGAAAATTGTTTTTAATTTTGAATTTTTTAAAAAGCTCTTCCCTTAAAATAAAATCCTGACGTTATAATGATTTTGACAAGTTATAGTTTGAAGGGGGAGCCAACCAGTAAATGGAAAGGTGACCAGTAGTTTATAATGCTTAGGATATTTCATACAAATGAAACTGGTGCACCATTTTAGGTGACCCTGTGTGTGTGTGTGTGTTTTTTTTTTTAATTTTGGCATTAAAATAAAAGGATCACCTTTAGAAATTTTATTCCTTCCTATTAAAAATGGCTGTGCTAATTTCATCTCTCCCTATCCAGTTCTCCCTGGTGATTCAAACATTAAAAGTCAAAATTAGTAATTTATTTTCCACTTTTACAGTTGGCGTCTATAATGATCAGTGGCAGATAAGAACCCTGCTGGGTTTTGAAGCTTATTCTGCTTTTTTAGTAGCATTTGTGGAAGGCTTTCTTGTTGGAACAAGGGGTTTCTTCAAGGAATTTGTACTTTCCCTTCCTTTCTCTGTTTTCTCCTTAGTTGGATAATTAATGTTATGGTAAAGAGCTACATATATTTTCATAAGTTGCTATTTATAGGAATGTTTTTATAACATGACTCATCACATTACGTGAATTTTCAGGCCAGATCACTCAGTAATGATGTTCTTGAGAAGGTGATATGAATTCATGGAACTTGATCGTTATCAAGTAACTAGGTAGTTTAGGGAGAATGTTGCCTTTAAGGAAGAAGAACCTGTTTTCTTCCCAGAAGGATGGAAAGAAATTTAATTACATGGCTGAGCTTCTTTGTTAGTCATCTCTTGACAACAGTTTCTTGAAGTAATACAGAGAAATAATAGCATGTG